AATAATCAAAAATGGTACTATTATGTGATTGAGTTATTTCTCTTTGAACAGAAATGGTTAATTATATATATATAGTTTGATTACACTAACATGACTAATTTTCATCTGTTGATAGATAACAGAGCATCTGGTATATGTCTTATGATTTGATTGATAGATTTATTTGAAAATTTTCTTTTTCCCAAGTGTTGATGATTATAAAATTAAAATTGAGAATGGAAATGGGGAATGTGTCAAAGAGACAACAACCCGACCACAGAACAGACAACAGCAGAAGGCCACCAACAGGTCTTCAATGCAGCGAGAAATTCCCGCACCCGAAGGCGTCCTTCAGCTGGCCCCTAAACAAATATATATACTAGTTCAGTGATAATGAACGCCATACTAAACTCCAAATTGTACACAAGAAACTAAAATTAAAAATAATACAAGACTAACAAAGGCTAGAGGCTCCTGACTTGGGACAGGAGCAAAAATGCGGTGGGGTTAAACATGTTTATGAGATCTCAACCCTCCCCCAATACCTCTAGCCAATGTAGAAAAGTAAACGCATAACAATACGCACATTAAAATTCAGTTCAAGAGAAGTCCGAGTCTGATGTCAGAAGATGTAACCAAAGAAAATAAACAAAATGACAATAATACATAAATAACAACAGACTACTAGCAGTTAACTGACATGCCAGCTCCAGACTTCAATTAAACTGATTGAAAGATTATGTCTTCATCATATGAATATCAGGCACAATCCTTCCCGTTAGGGGTTTAGTATCATACCATAAATAAATAATACCACATTGAGGTATATAAGCTATATAGGACTGTATAAATAAAGTTAGAAATTTACTGTTCATTATTAGACATTTTGAAGATAATTACAGATAAGTTTTATAGATTTTTAAAAAGACATTGTGTTAATGATAAATAAAATTTTTGATTTTTTTTTCTTTTCTTTGGTGAATTGTTTAAAGAATTTTGTGGTAGGTTTGTTTGTTATTCTGAAAAAACTTATTTTGGGCCCAGTTTTCAAGTTGGTCATAATTGGGGTCCAAAATTAAACTGTTTGATTTCAACATAAATTGAAAACACATTTGTATATAGGGTTCTTTGAACTGTTGTATCTAAACCTGTATTTATTTTAATTATTAATTAAATAATACCACATTGAGGTCCATAAGGGTCCTAAAATAAACTTTTCTTTAATTTCATCAAAATTTTAATTCTTGGGGTTTTTTGATATGCTGATTCTAACAATGTTTAAGTGATTACATCATATCTAATTTTATAGAGATTAGTCATCACTGGTTGATGTTATTATATGAATTTGAGTTATTATATGAATTTTGAGTTATTTCCCTTTCAACAGAAAGTAGTATTTCATATAAATTGAATTCTTGGGGTTCTTTGATATGCTATTCTGATAGCCTCTTGTCTATGTTAAGTTTTCTGCTTAAGTTAGTTTGATAGGAACTACTTGTGATAGATCAATGATATTTTCTATAAAGTTGCATCACTATCAGTACATATATGTTTTGCAACTATTTCAAGGCACCGCTACCTAGTTCACGGTCAAGTGACTTTGAATTAATTAGTAATTTTCAATGTTAAGTTTTTTGCTTAAGTCAGTTTGATAGGAACTACTTTTGATAGATCAATGATATTTTCTATAAAGTTGCATGACTATCAGTACACATTAGTTTTATGTCTATTTAGAGGCCCTGCCCTCTAGGTCATGGTCCAGCAATTTTGAATAAATTAGCAATGTTGTCCAACGAATTATCTTTTTATGCCCCACCTATGATAGTAGAGGGGCATTATGTTTATTCGGTCTGTGTGTCCGTTCTTTCGTCCGTCCGTCCGTTTGTCCGTTCATCCCACTTCAGGTTAAAGTTTTTGGTCAAGGTAGTTTTTGATGAAGTTGAAGTCCAATCAACTTGAAACTTAGTACACATGTTCCCTATGATATGATCTTTCTAATTTTAATGTAAAATTAGAAATGACCCCAATTTCACAGTCCACTGAACATAGAAAATGATAGTGCGAGTGGGGCATCCTTGTACTATGGACACATTTGTTTTGAATTTTCTGCAGACAGGCGAGACATATCTTTGCGTCAACAGTTTATTGGATTTTTTAGTATTAACTAGAAAACTAAAATAGATATATGTGAAACTAAACAGAAAAAATCATACTTGGTCATAATTTTTTATAGGGTCCAGGGTGAGCTATTCTACTCCTTTGATCCTATAGTTTGTTACAGGTATAGAACCAGGTCAGAAAGAACATGCAAGAAAGTAGTACATATTTTAATCAAACTAGTTCTTATGCATAGTTGTTACTTTGTCAATAAGTAAAATATTTGGGTAATCTTGGTATCAAATGAAAGCTTAATGACTTGGGATCACTGTATAACCCTTGTTTAAAGTTTCTTTTGAATAATAAAAAAATATATGAAATTAAGATAGGAGGGCATATTTGCCCTGTTGCTCTGATCAGAAGTACCTGTTTTTGTACTACCCAACTACCAGGAACCAGTGAGCTCTAATATCTATACTATTAAATGAGAAGACCTCATTTTGTGTGTCGCTTCTGTTCCTTCCACAATAAATTAATCATCATGCCTCTGTGTCCTATAGGTACCATGCATAGTCGCATTTGTCATCCATGCCTCTGTGTCCTATAGGTACCATGCATAGTCGCATTTGTCATCCTCGCTTATGATTATTCCGGTTAGGTTATTTTGGGAGGAAAACGAAAATAAAGGCGTCCGGATATTGTTTCCGTCATCGGACGGACTTTTAAGTCATAGACAAGACTTCCGTTTAGTCCGTTTAGTTCTGTTTAAAATTACACAGAATTTTGGTAAATTTACAAACAACCCTTAATTCCTAACTTGATTACATACAATGTTTTTAACGAATATAACGACCCAGGTCATGTGAAAATGAAAACAAATCTATGGATATAGTAAAGTTTCCCACTGAAAAGTCTGACGCCATTTCAGTAAAATATGACGTTTTTGTGCACAAATCACATTGTGACGTTGTCGAGTTATAGTGAGTATTTCATGATGGCTCTACGAGCGTAACTTGATTACATACATGTTTTGGGTACCTGAGCTACAGGAACCGGTAACGAACATTCCATCGATCCCTGGAATCGAAAAAAATACAATTTCTTGGGACCCCTGGAACCTATACATAATCGTATTTTATTTAAGAAATAACTCATGCAAGCCATATATTTTGAAAATTTTCACATGGCCTGGGCTGTTATATTGGAATTTTAATGTTTTGGGTACCTGAGCTACAGGAACCGGTATCAAACATTCCTTCGGTCCCTGGAAGCAATAAAAATCCGATCTCTTGGGACCCTTGAAACCAGTATATAATCATGTTTTATTTAAGAAATAATTCATGCAAGCCATAGATTTTTTTGAAAATTTAGCCTGGTTGTTATATTGGAATTTTATCGCGACCATAAGCAAGGGATGAAATTAATGAATATAATGACCCAGGCCATGTCAAAATGAAAACAAATCTATGGAATGCATGTATTATTTTGATTCTAATATGGTAAAGTTTCAGACTGAAAACTCTTGACGCCATTTCAGTAAAATATGGCGTTTTTGTGCATAAATCGCATTGTGACGTCGTCGATTTATAGTGGTTGTGGTTTATTGAGTATTTTTTTATGGCTCTATTCATATGACCTAATAAGCACCCCATATTAGAATTAATTTGCGTTCCAAAAGTCAACACCTCATTAAGTCTGACGCCATTTCCCGATTTCAGTAAAATATGACGGTTTTGTGCACAAATCGCATTGTTTATTGAGTATTTTATTATGGCTCTATTCATAATTCCAATCTTATTTGCAAATATCACATAATAATCTGATTTCATTAGTGGAATCCGTTTCGAATAAATGACATTGAAAAGGTTAACATAACTTTATTCTGTCTTCTGCACACCGAAACAAAAAGCATAGTGACAAAGCAACTCGCCTTCTAAAAATTGTGCGTTCATGTTACTACAAATAGTTGACCTTTGCGTTGACCTTCTTTAGATTTATATCCAATATTTTGAACTGGTGAAAAATTCAAAATGTTATATTGACATCAGTTCATGTTTAAGATACTTTTGATACCTTTCCTGAAATTCTCCAGTCATAAAATCTTTTACAAAAATTCATCCTACAACAGTTTACATACTTTTAACCACGCTCTAAATGCCTGCGATTTTGCGGGTGTGTTCTAGTGCAATTAAAATTATGTCGATTTTTTTGGCACAAATCAGGATAAGGTATAGTTTTGACATATAATGGCTATCACTTTATTTGAATTTAACACAAAAATAGCTATTAATTCTCGAAGTTGCAGAATTTAAAATAGAAAGCAATGGGGCTATGTATTAGTGGTGTTATTCCTTCAAGGTATTAAGTTGTCAATTAAGCATAGCTTACTGTGTGAAAAGAAAGGATCTGGTTTTGATTTACATTATGATAATTTGTGGAAACAATATGAGGTCAATTACAATAAACGATTTTTTTATTATGAAAATTGTATTTGAAAAATAAATAATACTTTTACAAGTAAAATGAAATAACATGTTTGATGATATCAATTTGATACATCTGAAGCACTTTTCTAGATCTATCATCATCAGGTATGCTCAAAGCAGAAAATTTTGAAAGCCAGCTATGTTAATACCGAACAACACTAATAAAGAGCTATATGACCAATTTTGGGACCAAAGAGTAATAGCCAAATCTGTCTAAGGTCAACTTTGTCTGAAGGAATTTGAACTTTAGATTTTTTATAATTTTTGAATTCATATACCGGTAATTATAGAATGACACTTTCTGAAAATAAAATGAAGAACAATGATAATGATTATAAACATGGAACCAAACAATATTTGTGCTCTTTGTAATTTTGTCTCAGAAAAAAAATGGAAAACTAAAAAGCTGTAATGAATTAAACTCTTGTTTTTTTACAGGGTTTTACATCAACAGTGACATTTGAAGGCACTTGGTATTTGGTGTCCAGACTTACTGTGTCTATATCTGCCCCTGTTGTGGATCCAACAGACAGTTTAGGTTAGGTTTATGTATGATTCTTGTCTGAACCTGCTTACAGAATTAAACGATGAAATTTAGCACCCCTGTCACTTCTTAAAAAAAAATACAAACTGCAAATATGTTGTTTTATATAACTGGTAATAATGTCCATTTTAAAAGTGTTTGTGGCAGAATACAACAAAAGGGGTTATTATCCTATTGATTACCCAATTTGTACTGCAAGACAACAACAAAGGCAGTTGAATATATTTTGTTTTCTTTTTCTTATCCGATTTATACTTTTCCTGACAGAATGATTATTTTTTATAATTTAGTTTGTTTAATCTCAGTTCTTCATTGATCAAAAATCAATTATGACGTCAAATTTTCGTGAGGTCTTCTGAATTTCCTAATTGTGAAGTCAAGAAAAAAGGCGACCATGCCTGATGACGTCACATATAAAGAACACACTATTTGATGATCAGTGAAAAATTTTGTATACATAAAGTCTAAAAATCATTAGAGAAACAGATTCCACCACCGAATCTTGTGCTATACAATATTTTTCCACTCTTGTCAGTTAAATTTTCAATATTTGAAAAGCTTGGCAAACCTCAAGTTAAAATTTGAAATTGAACTGAGTGAAGAAATATAGTATCACACTCGATGAATCTATATTTATATATATAAGAAATATGTAACCATAGAATGCTTAAATGAACGAATGCTTAATTTCACACTGATGTTTTTGAAATGACAAAATGTATTAAAACATTTTAGACAGACCTAAAGTGTTGAAATAGTTCAAGTTGAACTTTGCAGCACTTTTATAAAGCATACTAAAGTAAAGTAAAGCATACTGTAAAAAAAAAAGGTGCATTTATTATATTATTTTTTTTACATTTTTCATAATATATTTTCCTGTTTCCTAATTATTGTCTTTCCTACTTTGTTACTTTTTTTTCATTAAGCGTACCTTGAGGTATATTTTCCGGAATTACCCAAGTGAAGATGAATTGCCATGCGATAACGTTCTAAAAGGCATGTGATACGCAAATTTAATGCTATTATCATACTGGTATTTACTAAATATGATAATATTACATATTACACATCCAACAAGTAGTTGGATATGATCTCTTGTGTTTGATGATTATAATATTTATATTCTCGAATATCTTTCTAATACTCTAGATAAAGAGAATAATAATTTTTCTGCTTTCTAGGATTTCCAGTGAATGTTATTGCTCTGTTGCCTTTACTGGTACAAAATTATGAATGCCTTACTCCAAGTTGTCGAGATGCAGCAGATCATATAGCACAAGTTAGTAAGATTGTACTCAAAGTTTAATCAAGAAGCCATATTGGTTTGACTATGCAGGGGATATAACTCTATACAATTATAATTCAATTGATTGGATAATGACCAGCATAAATTTCTATAATCTACCCATCTGTAACTTAAGGAAGCCACCATTTTAAATTCCAGAATTTATTGGTATGAGATATCTTCAATGATAAACTTTTCTTACCCAAAAAATCTTCGTCAAATGTATTCCACTCTAAAGCATACACAGCCTAAAAGGCCTGGGCACAGTTGTTCAAAATACTGGATAAAGTTATCCACTAGGTAAGCTTAACTCTTAGTACTTCCTGCCAAATTGCAAAATGGACACACCCACAACAAAAAAGGGGGAAAAGGGCTGCAAATTTCAGTGAGGCGGATAAAGTCCATAATGTATCCAGTGGAAAACTTTATCCAGTCTTTTGAACAACCAGGCCCTGGTGTTTTACATAGGTTAATCTTAAAATACTAAACAGTTATCTCCAAATTATATAATCATATTCTATTTAAAAATGGGCCATATTTGGAGAATGCCAGTTCCTCTGCATGAAAAAATATCTCAATCTGGAACCATAATACGTTGATTTCTATGAAAACATTCGACTTAAATAATACTATTTAGCTCACCTGACCCAAGCAGTCTTGTGAGAGTAATTCTCATTACTTGGTATTGTCGTCTGTCAGATGTTAATTTTTACAAAAATTATCAATATTTCGATCAAAAATTTTCACTACTCAAATAAACCTCTTTCATAGTTCACACATGCGCAAGTGTTATCTGTTAACTTGAAAACTGCCATAGAAAAAGAAATCTGACATTGGCAGACATTTTTGGATTAATCTACCTACTGTCCATTTGCACCAAAACTGTCAGACGTCTCCTTATAAGAGTTATTTGAATGACAATTTTTACTAAATTTTTATATGACCGCAAATAATTTTTTGGGATCGTATAATGGTATGATGTCGTCATCGTCTGCGTCATCGTCGTCGTCGTCGTCCGAAGACACATTGGTTTCCGGACAATTACTTTAGTTTAAGTGAATGGATCTCTATGAAATTTTTTAAGAAGGTTCAATACCACAAAAGGAAGGTTGGGATTGATTTTGGGGATGATGGTCCCAACCGTTTAGGAATTAGGGGCCCAAAAGGGGCCCAAAACAAGCATTTTTCTAGTTTCAGGATAATAACTTGTGTATTAGTATTTCGATTGCTCTGAAATTGTACGACAATGTTTAATACCACAAGTAGAAGGTTGGGATTTATAATAGGGGTTATGGGGCCAACTGTTTAGGAATTAAGGGCCAAAAAGGGGCCAAAAACAAGCATTTTTCTAGTTTCCAGACAATAACTTGTGTGTAAGTGTATGGATCTCTCTGATATTGTACCACAAGGTTCCATATCACAAAGGGAAGGCTAGGATTGAGTTTGGGGTTAATTGCCCAAATATGTAGGAATTAGGGGCCAAAAAAGGGCCAAAAACAAGCATTTTTCTAATTTCCAGACAATAACTTGTGATTAAGTGTATGGATCTCTCTGAAATTGTACTACAAGGTTCCATACTTCAAAGGAAAGGCTGGGATCGAGTTTTGGGGTTATTGCTCCAAGGGGGGTTTCAAAAAGTTGGGGGGGGTGGGGTGGGGTTTCCAATATTTTTAGAGGATTCATATTTTTTTTTCAAAATTTTGAATTTTTGAAAAGTTTCAAGAAGAAATCTTCAATTGCACAATAGATTTGTAAGATCTTTGACCACATTTATTTTGTGTCAGAAATCTATATTATGTCAAAAATTTGATCACAATCCAAATTCAGACAGTATCAAGCTTGAATATTGTGTCCAAATTTGTACCAACTGTTCAGGGTTCCACCTCTGCGGTCGTATCAGGCTGTGCTCATCAAAGCATTTTATTACTTATTGTCTTGAATTTTATAATAGATCAAGAGAAACTTTGAATAGCAAAAATTATCAGCGGGACAATTTCCACATATTTTTCAGCTTGGCCTTAATTGCGGTTGACTCCAAATAGCAGTTATTGTCCTTAATGACAATTTTTACCAATTTTTTACATTTTTATCTATTATCTTGGAAACTATAATAGAAAGAGGAGAAACTTTATACTGGCAAAATTATCAGAAAGACAAGATCTGCAAATAAGTCAACAAGGCTGAAATCAATCGTTGACTCATTATATGAGTTATTTCCACAAAATGATAATTTTTACCATTTTTTTGCTTCTTTGCTTATTATCTTGAAAACTAGAAAAGATAAAGAGAATCTTAGATAGGTATAATTATCAGCAGGACAAGATGTAAGCATTTGTAAACATGGACAAAATGGTCTATTGAGTGCAAATAGAAGTTATTGCTCTTAAAAGATTTTTTTATATTTGCTATTATCTTGAAAACTATGATAAATAAAGATAAACTTTAGATAGCAAAAATGATCATGAGGACAAGATCTACAAATGTATCCACATGGCCGAAATCATCATATAAAACCTTAGTTATTGCCTCTAAATTATAAATTTTAACTATTTTTTACCAAAACCATTGTGGATAATTAAAAAATTATAAACCTCAAAAGATCAGCAGGAGAATATGTATACATATAAGTCATGAATGCTGAAATTTTCAGGAGTTATTGCTTAAAATGATTTTAACATTTTATTTATGTGTTGGGTAAAAACTATAGAAGATAAAGAGAAACTGTTAACATAAAAAATGATCAACAAGATAAAATCTACAAATAGGCAAATTAAGCCAAAATTTAAAGTCCACTTCTTAGAGAAGAGCTGTTGAATGACGATTTTTAACTATTTTTGGTATTTTGGGCAAAGACTATTTTAGATAGAGAGAAACCGTATAGAAAAAAATTATCAGCAATACAAGGATATTAGTCACAAATTTTATTCTGTAAGTGAAAAAGGATCCCCAGTTTAAAGACAAAGATAAAACCAACAGTAGTTGCAAACAACATCACACCGCAATGTTCTTGATTGAAAATTTAATTAGGTTAAAAACTTAAAAAATTGAGTCTGTGACAAACAAAATGAACCAATTGAATGTGACAAATTTAGTTCACTTACTTTTTTTTAACAATAATAACAACTACATGTACTTTTATCCATTGAAAATAAACTTAATAATCCAATTCACATTCCTTCAATTTCACTGGTTTCTTTTAGTAGAGTATAAAAGCTTGAGACCCTTAAGCTTTTCCATTTAATGAAAATGGTAGATTTTGGTCCTTTTACATTGCAGGTTTGTTCACAAAAATCAGATAAATTAGATAACCTTGGGACAGTCATGTCACTCTACAGCCATGGTACGTTTGGGAAAGACAGTTTCCAGTGGACAAAATGTGTTGTTAAATACCTGTTGGATGTGTATTCATATACTAGTTTGACTCTCCTGTCATTCTTAGTAGAGGTAGGTACAAATGTACCAGAAAGTATGGTATTGGTGGCAAATAGAAATACAATGCTGGTCACTGTAACAAACATGGAGGCCATACTGTGACCTCTAGTTGCTAGCTTCTCATCATTGGTGTATGGTGAAATATTGTCTCATACCTTATCCTTTTATTTGTTTATGGTTTTACAAATTAGATGTTAACTCAGTGTTCTGAAATCTGACATAAAATGGTTAGTTTATTTCATTCATAATTATTAGTTAACAATATTGCTGTTATACACTTGAGGCCATGAAAAACAATAATAGTCAACTTGTTATAATGACCAGGATGGCATTCAGAATTGTATTTGATCAATGTGGGACACTGTTAACTGGCTTCATCTATGACTGTCACCATTCCTACAGATGGGTGCAGACCAAGCATAACACAAACTAAATGCCAAGTTAAATCCACATGGACATATTTTGTATGTCTACTTTTAGATTCTGCTTTTATTTTCTAAAGTCCTGAAAATTTAATAAAAAGGAATTATTTCCAAAGAATTGATGCACAAATTTAAAGCATACTTATGTAAAGAAGATATTCCAAATATTTTCACAAAAATAACGCTTGTGTTTATCTTTTGAAACAAAAAAACTTAACTGTGTCTGTCAACAGAAATAGAAATGTAACAAAAATTAATATTTTGAGTAAAAGTCTAAATATGAATGTCTATTTATTTCTAAAAGTAGCACATGAAAGTATATTTTTTATTATATATTTGAATTTACTAGGTGAAAATAGCTTGTATGCAAATTTTCTTTTAAATGTCACTGTGGGATCAAAACTGGATCATATGCCCTTAAGTCAATAGTTGCATTTACAACAGATATCAGACATTTACTTTTTGTGTTAACTATTTGTAAAAATTATTATACAAAAGGATATGTTTTACACTGTACACACAACGCACACTTTTATCTTGTGTCATGGTTTCATTTGTTTTCCTATGAAAATATCTGTACTATAAATCATAAAGATGGTCAAGGGGAGGAGCCAGGTTGTATTACAACTTCCACTCAGTGACGTCACATTGTACAACAACTTTCATTTTTGGAAAGTTGTGTTCCCCCAAAAGTGCTTCACATTGAAAAAAAGACAAAGCAATATGCCACATGTACAAATTCTTTCAATTTAATCTGTTCTGAACAACTGTCACCTGAAAGAAGAATATTTCAAAATTTGAAAATCAATGTTTGAACGGTTCTAAATCAATTAAGCACACATATACTGTGTCAACCGATACCCTGTCTGGCTACTCCTTGTACTACCCAGAATTGATCACCATATTTTTTTTAGAAAACCCTGTGAAAGTTTGAATTTCATCATGGCCATTCTAGTTTTTGACAAGGAGTTTCATTATTAACAGTGCATGACTTTCCTCTGAATTTGTTTCACTCAGTCACAGGATTAAATCGTAGTGGAATTTTCCTGAAGTAATTTATTTGCATAACATTAAAATTGCTGTCCTAGACTATTTTTAGAAAAAAACAATGGAAAATCTTACATATTGTAGACGAATTTACATACAGGAATTGGTCCATTGATTTTTGTGTTGATGTCTGATGGCAAATATTCCATGTATTATATTAAAGAAAAACATTGAAAAAGTCGTCAACAAACCTTAGTTCATATAAAAGGGTATACCAAGTTTGTTTTTGTTATACCCACTGTCTTACAAATGTGCATGGAGCATTAAAAATGATAGGAATCCATTAGAATCATTGCTATTAATTTGTTTACAAATTGAAATTGACATTGAGTAAAACCTTGTGATTGATTATCAAATACCCCCTATTTGAAATTACCATATAAAGGTGATTTGATTTAAGGTCAAAACATATATGATAAAAATGAACTCCTTGCCACAATTATAAAATTGATAGCGTTTCTACTGTTTGTAACTAATTCGCTGATGCCATTCATTTTGAAAGAACAATTGTGGAATGCAATGGCAAAAAAAATATACAACAGTCTAAAACAGTTTTGATATGTATTTACCTGTAGATACAAACATATTCTAAACAGTTTTTTCAATATTAGTGAATTTCTTCTATATTGAATTAAAGGTACTTGAGAAAGGTCCTTCATCCTACCAGAAATCTGTGTTCCAAATCATACATTGTATGGTTCATTATATTGAACTGAACCAGCCATGTACCATCCTTAACCTAGAGCTTTTCTACACAGTGTGTCGTCATGTGGGGGTATGTATCATTAAAAACAAAATTTTATAGATTGGATTTTTTTTATTTCATGTGTTATAAATTGTTTTCTTCTTTTTATACGACCGCAAAAAAATTGCGTTTGTATATTGCTATCACTTTGTCATCGTCATCCAAAGACATTTGGTTTCTAGACAATAACTTTAGTTTAAGTGTATGGATCTCTATGAAATTTAACCAAAAGGTTCAACACCACAAAAGGAAGGTTGGGAATTGTTTTTGGGGGTGGTGGTCCTAGCGGGTCACAATTTATTTTGCTAATTCTTTGTATATAGTCTGAAAACAGATTTACTAAGTATTGCGCAACAGCAAAGTGTATTGCACAACAGCAAGAAATCTTCAATTGAATATAAATTCAAATCATATAACCAATTTCAAGTTCTTTGACTACTTTTATTCTGTGTCAGAAACCTATAATGTGTCAAATTTTTTATTACAATTCAAATTCAGACCTGTATCAAGCTTGAATATTGTGTCCCTTTTGCCCAAACTGTTCAGGGTTGGACCTCTGTGGTTGTATCCAGCTGCTCTTGGCGAGGCACATTTTTAATTATATCCTCATTAAAACGAGGGTGTTCTAGACTGTGAAGTTGGTGCATTATTAGGAAACTTGAAATTATAGGTTTTGTCATGATAAATAAGGCTGCTTTTTACATAAATATGAAATAGAAGAAAAACAATCAAGTCAAAAGATTCAGACAAAAGGAAAAGTTGATGAAGTTTTCCACTGATACACAAATAATATGGCTTCAACTAACGAAAGAGGTATTGTGTTTAGATACCTCTATGTCAGTATTTTCTCTCTATTACTCATATAATCTTTTCCACTGACATAAGAGCTCTAAGTGTAAGCCAGGGGATTAACGGAACATGATGACCTGGAATACAAACATGTCTCTGATGCAGGATTTTTTTATTATTAATTGTTTTGGCTTTTAACTAGCTGTCAGTAACTGCGAGTACTCTCAAATCGTACTTTCTTGTTTATTTGACCTGTTGATACTACATGTAATTGTATTGCTTTTTTGTTATTTAATGTTATTCAGGGTTATATCTGGTCTATATACCAGCTTTTATAAGTGTCTGGTATTACTATAAATTTTCACTTCGTACTATGAACATCAAAATTATTTATTTTGTAAAAATATTTCCTTTCTCTATTGGAACTGTATACGTAACAACAAAATTATTTTCATTTACCTGTGTTTAAAGTTATTGCAAACGGCTGATATTTTTGTTCTAGCAGATTGTTTTTCTTTGATAGTTTAACATTTCATACCAATATAACATGTTACTTTTATTATTCTTCCCTTAGTTTATTTATTTTGTATTTATATTGTATCATAGGTCAAATTTATTTGTTCAGTGTATGTTCAATGGTGTTAATATGTCCTTTGATTGAGTTAAGCTATTTCAGTTGATATTTTATAGTGTGTCTTTCTATGTTGTGATGTTACACTATTGTTTCAGAAAAAGGGTGAAGGTTTGGTACCATTAAAACATTTAAACCCGCTGCATTTGTTTGCACCAGTCCTAAGTCAGGAATCTGATGTTCAGTAGTTTTCGTTGGTTGATGTGGTTCATAAGTGTTTCTCGTTTCTCGTTTTTTATATAGATTAGACCGTTGGTTTTCCCGTTTGAATGGTTTTACACTAGTAATTTTGGGGGCCCTTTATAGCTTACTGTTCGGTGTGAGCCAAGGCTCTGTGTTGAAGACCGTACTGTGACCTGTAATGGTTTACCTTTATAAATTTTGACTTGGATGGAGAGTTGTCTCATTGGCACTCATACCACATCTTCTTATATCTAATTATGATGTATGAACTTATAACACTTTATTCATAAACTTACATTGACACTTACCCTAAACATTAAAGGGAGGATTGAAGGCTAAAATAATGTTTTCATTTCAAAGACTTGATATTTCACCAAATCATAAGCCAAACATCAAGACTACATGACTACCATGTAAGATAACTTAATTGAAGTCACAATAGATGCCAAAATGTTGGTTAGATATTAACCTTATTTATCATTTATCATCAGGTTTAAAGTCATATGAAACGACTTTCTTATAATTTTTATGATATCAAAATTATTGAGCCAATGCAAGCATATATACTGAACTAAGTCCATATGCACGTTTTTTACATTTATTATGAACCTGTAACGTATTATCAGAAAAAATATTTCATTCAGTGATACTTGATTGCAAGCTAATTAACTTTCGAGTATGTTGCAAAAGTTTACCAGATTGTGACATTGATAAACAATCAACACAGAGCATGTTCAGCACGTGAAAAATAAATGAATTGATAGAGCCACGATATACTTTTTTATATTTTCCATGTGTTCCCATTTGTTAATAGAACTTTTTCTTAACAGTTGTTACATGATTGGGTGTGTTGAATTTGTTCTTCAAGAATCAGTTATTACTATTTACCTTCCAGTGCACGTTTGTTTACATTTACTGTGCGGTAGCCGACATTCAAACGAAAGGTCTTGTAGTTAATGTCACTGCATATGGAAAAATATCAGAGAATTAGAGTACTGGAAGACAATAATTCAATGGCAGTACATTTATGAAGATTTTGATAATATAAAGGATTTTCTTTTACAAGAAAGTTCATGTATTCTTGTTTTATAGTAGAACTTAGCCTCTCAAGTATATAAAACATATTTAACTTTTTTTTTAAATTGTAAGTTTCATATGACTTTAAAGTTAACCGTAACATTCAAAATCAGTTGAATGAAGTTGAAGGATGAAATAATGCTTTCATTTAAAAGACTTGATATATTTGCAAATCATAAGCCAAAACATCAAGTCTACATGACTACATGTTTGATTGAGATATATCATGATAGGGGCCCAAATGTAGGTTAGATGTTTACTGTAACATACAAATCAGTTAAAAGAAGTTTACCATAACTGATTAAAAAATTGCACAGGATGATTAACTAAACTGATAAAAATTATCCGACAAAGATAACGGATAATTATCCGGTAACAGATAACATTTTAAGACACTATATAGATAGAGTGCCACTATCAATCCATCATTCTGCCTCTGAAAAAGGTCCATGAAGGACCTAAACAGGTCAGGCTATGAATCATCACCAGGCGCTGTTAATTATGTGGCATTACCTTTACTTTTTACTATGCCCCCGCTGTAGTGGAGGGGGCATTAAGTTTTACCCTTGTCCGTACATCCCATAATTGGTTTCCGTTCTCTAACTTTAGTATGCCTCAACCAAATAATATGAAACTTATACACAATGCTAATTACCACAAAACACAGATCAAGTTTGAATTTTGGTGGCGTCACTTTTACCGTTCTAGAGTTATGCCCCTTTACAAATGGAAAAATTGCTAAATTTTTCGTTTCCGTTCTCTAACTTTAGTTTGCCTTAACCAAATGTTATGAAACTTATACACAATGCTTATTACCTTAAAACACAGACCAAGTTTGAAATTTGGTGGCATCACTTTTACCGTTCTAGAGTTATGCCCCTTTACAAATGGAAAAATTGCAAAATTTTTAGTTTCCGTTCTCTAACTTAAGTTTGCCTCAACCAAATGTTATGAAACTTATACACAATGCTTATTACCACAAAGCACAGATCAAGTTTCAATTTTGGTGGCGTCACTTTTACCGTTCTAGTTTCTTAATGCTTGAAGAGATTGATTTGATATTTGGTGTATTGTTTTAACATGACAAGTTACAGATCAAGTTTGAATTTTGTTCTGGTCTGATGATAGAAAATTCCCTCAAATTATAAGTTTTCCGCACTTTTTTTCGTCATGCTTGAAGATATTGATTTAAAATTAACAAATTAAACAAAACTTACCTAAGTTGTAGTTTGATATTAATTTGGTAAGGTCCAATCTACCAGAATCACATGAGTGAACAGATGATCACATGATGCAAATCAGACTTCAGAGTGGAGAAAGTCAGGAACTGAAACTTCCATAATGAGGGTGGGCACAAATCACAACCCGGCGGGCATGTGATTCTGGTAGATTGGACCTTACCAAATTAATATCAAACTACAACTTAGGTAAGTTTTGTTTAATTTGTTAATTTAGAAAGTCCAATCTACCTATAGAATCACATGAGTCTTTAGAGTTCAGTTCTGCACTTTCAGTCAAATTCTTTGTTAAGTAGCAACAGTTATACTATAAACACTACATATTTTCACTACTTGAAAACACTACTAATTCTTAATTTCGGAAATTATATACATCCATATACACAAAACTATCTTATTTCCCCTTGGCCAATAAGATTTCTTTTACTGAAGGAGCTGTCATTAGTAATTGGTCTTTGATAAAATTTTCTAAACACACTATCTTTCCTCCATCCAGCTGTGCGAAGAATCGTAGCTATTGGAATTGGTCCACTAACATAGGAAGTAGCAGCTCCTCTAGTACTATGAGGTGTGAAGATTGTCATATCTATTCCAGCCAAAATTAAAACTTGTTTAATCCACTTAGCAATGGTACCCTTTTTTACAGGTTTATACGGTTTTTGGAAACTCAAAAACAATTGAGTATTATTAAATCTCAACTTATTTGTGCATTCTAAATATTCATGTAATGTATGAACCACACAAATCCTAAAATCTGGCTTAAATGCTTCTATAAATATCTCTGGTAACTGATATCCAGGTCTAGTTTGCTTAAGCAAGTCTCCATATCTTATTTTAACTGAGTACGTATCAAGTTCCAAATTTCTAATATCTATTAAGAAAATACTCTGCATTCTTTGACCTGTTGTCAAAGCTAATAACATGGCCAATTTAAATGTTAAGTTTTTTAATGTAATATCTTTCACTGGTTTCCAAGTCTTTAACAGACTTAACACAATTTCCACATTCCAGGTACAATTATACCTAGGTAAAACCGGTTTTTTGTTAAATATTCCCTTCATAAATTGTTTTATCATGAAAATGTTTTCCAATTTGCACATTAGTAATAAGGTAAACAAAACTAGATACTGCTGATTTAGCAGTATTAACAGCACTATATCCTAGGCTGTTCAGATGCAATTCTAACAAAAACTTTAATACACTATTTACAGATGGATCAAATCGATCCGTTTTTTCTTTGTCACAAAAAAGCAGCCATTTTTTTATATATGTCCCATACTGTTTTTTGGTAGAATCTCTCCATGAATTGATGATGATGTCGGCAGCCTCTGCTGATACTCCTCCCTCACACATCTTATTCCGGAGATCTTGAAAGCCGCCAATCTCATGTTTTTCAAAGGATGAGTTTGATTTGTTTTGGGATTCGTCAGAATCCTTTCCACTTTTGGCAAAATATATGGTTGATCGCAAATCATTTGTAGTAGCTGAGGAAACCAAGGCCGTGTCGAAAATAAAGGTGCTATAACTAATGCGGTTGTTTTTTCCTGACAAATTTTCTGTAACACTTTACTGATCACACTGAAAGGAGGGAATATATAAGCATAAAATGTATTCCAAGTTAAAGAGAATGCATTAACAGCCAAAGCATTCACATCTGGGCCAGAGGATACATATTGTTCTAATCTATTGTTATGTTTTGATGCAAATAAATCAATGTCACATGGACCAAGTTTATTCATTATACACTCAAAAATACTATCAATGATCATCCATTCCATATCTGAATTAGACTTGTGTCTGCTTAACGCATCTGCTTTTATATTTAACTTCCCTGGTATATGAAAAACACTAAGCCAAATTTGTCTATGTATACACCACAACCATATCTCTTTAGCTAAATTATTTAACTCCTCTTTTCTTCCTCCCATTTTATTCAAATACTTAATGGCAGTTGTATTATCAAGAAATAATTGTACATGTTCATTAGGAGTTCTGTCACAAAAGGCTTTTCATGCAAGAAAAGCTGCTTTCAGTTCCAAAAAATTTATGTGTTTATTACGTTCACTTAAACTCCAAACACCTGATAATGTAAGATTATTTGTTACATCAAGTGCTCCATATCCTAACATACTACTGTCAGATTCAATTTTTCTATCTGGTGGTTTAAAAACAAATAGGTTTATAACTATCATGAATGTTTTCAACCCACCAGTTTATACATTGTTTACTCTCATTTGATAATATAATCCTAGCATCAAAATTTCCTTTATTCAATTTCAATTCAACATCCTTTTGTATTTCTAAAGTTTTGTAAAAAACTGGTGCATATAAAACACCATGTTCACTGGCAACCAACTTTCCTATTAACTGTGCAAATTCACGTATAGTAATAAAACATTTCCTTAACAAAGTTCTGCATAATTCCACAATATTTGCAACTTTCTTGGGTGCTAGGTTCACTACCATGCTCACAGGGTCTATACTGAATCCTAAAAATTCAATGTTTTGAGCAGGCACAACAACTGATTTTTCTTTATGTATAGTAAATCCAAGGCTATCAAACAATTTCATTGTTTCTTGGACATTATTTAGGCATTCCTCATAAGTATCCCCTACCAATAAAATGTCATCAATATACGCACAATTAACATATCCTTCTTTCCTTAAAGAAGATAACACAGGTTTTAACAACTTTGTGAAAATACGAGGAGCTGGTGATAAACCATTAGGCATAGCTGTAAACTGATATAATTGACCTTTCCATGTAAATCTCAAAAATTTTCTATCTTCCTTTTTTATTCCTAAACTGTAATATGCATCTTTAATATCCAACTTTGCAAAGAAATTTTTATTTTTCACAATAATGTATAATGCTGACTTGAAAGTTTCCATCTTGAAATGTTTATATTCCAAATGCTCATTTAGATTACTTAAATTTAATATTAATCTAAATGAACCATCAGCTTTGGGCCTAATAAAAATACTAGATAATACTTCCCCACACTGATGAATTACAGGTTCAATAACCTTTTTGTGTAAAAATTTTGTTAACAAATTGTCGATAACTATTTGTTCACTTTCATTAAATTTAATTTCTTTTCGTGAACATTTACTACATGGTTCACATTCAAATTCCAAGTGATAACCTTGACATACAATATTCAAGAGGTTCCTATCACTTGTAATTGTTTTCCATGTTTCACTATACTGAGCTATTTTTCCAGCAACAAAGTTGTCAGTAGTATTATGCAGACAATTAAGATTTAATAATGTACTTACATTACTATTACTATGTGTGTCCATTTCTAATGGCCCAGATTCCCCTTCCCTTTCTTGCTGAAGGGTTTCTTCTGTTCTCGTAGTATCTGGGCCTTCTTGGCTAAAAAATTGTTTTTAAATCCACTTTTCCCTTTGAAACTTCCATTATCAGACTTAAAATTATCATGACGAGAATAAGTATCCTTAACTTCAGGTACATGTGCCTTATCCCTGTTCCATGCACTTTTAACCTTCATTTTATTGCCCAATTTCGTACTATCGTCTATTTCTTTCATCCGTTGTTCCAGATTTTCTCTGTCCCCAAATAAATAGTTCGGCGAAATTTTCTCATCTTCGTGGCTCAGAGCTAAATATTTTTTGTCTAAAGCTGGCGTTAACAACTTCCTCCTTTGACTAGACAAATCTCTATGTGCATACAACAGCAAATTTAAGGAGTCCAGGGATAGTTCAAACGTCTCTTCCGATTCTTCCGACGAGCTTTTCAAAGACTTTTCCATCAGCTGAACAACAGGTACCATCCCTTTAACTAGATACCCCTGGGTTCTTTGCAGGGATCTGTCATTATCTTTCAGACGTTTAGATGTTTCCTTCGAACTCCACAGCACTTTGTTCACCTTTGGAACCTAGAGAAATTCACAGTTCTCTGGTCGAACATATTTGTCCACTAATTTGTGAACTTCTTTATTTTTATGATCCATGGCAGACTCCGCCCCTTGATTAACGATTTTTGCAATCTCCTTGTGTACCGGCGATCCTAACTTTTGTTTCTTAGACAAAAAGTTCTCAACTTTTTTCATTTTCTCCATTTTTGACATTTTCGTCGTAACTTTCATCCTTTTTTCCGGTGGTTCCTTCGGCATATCCTCCTCTTCCTCCTGAGAAGATTCATAATCACGTTCCGATTCCTCCTCCGAAACACTATCATAGAATGTATTTGGAGATTTGCCCCGTTTATTGTTTGTTATTCTCAACTGCATCGGCGCAATCGGATCAGCTGTTTTCTGAAGAACCGCGTTTTTTATTTCAATTACCGATTTGGTTAGTTCATTGATAGCTTTTTGTTGTTCAAAGTAAAGCTTTTGGTTGTTTATCAATTGCTCATTGTATTGAGCTAACAAATCCGGTCGCTGTTGATTAACTTCAACACTTGCATTAAAAGGTACATTGTTAGGCTCCACCCCCTTTTTGTTTTTCTCAACTGTCGCTCATTTCGGAACAGAATTTTAACGGGTGGACTGTGAAGATGATGGAGCTCCAGTATGAATCAACTGAAGAGAACCATCATCCTTCACCACTATTGCCTGGTCTTGGAAAACATTGCAATTTTCCACCACTGGATCCAAAATAATAAATTCCTCTGCCATTGTTCGGAATTTCCTAAACGCACGTGCCCTCTCTATCAGCGCAAACACATTTAACAAAGAAATTTGTTTACAAACGTAAGTTCATGTCAAATGAATATTACTAATAACATCACTATAGTAAAACTTTCAAACTACGAAAAATTCCTGACTATCCAAACACTAACATATATGAAATTTTGAATTTTTGTCTCCTGAAAGAAAGTCTAACTTTGCATAACAAAGGATCAACCTCGTTCTGATTTGCATCATGTGATCATCTGTTCACTCATGTGATTCTATAGGTAGATTGGACTAACTAAATTGGTATATAGTTTTATTATGACAAGTTACCGATCATGTTCGAATTTTGTTCCGGTCTAATGATTTTGTGCAGAGTTATGGTCCTTGGACTTAAAAAATTCACTTAAATAATCAGTTTTTTAACACTTTTTTTCGTCATGCTTGAAGATATTGACTTGATATTTGTTATATAGTTTACACCATGACAAGTTATAGATCAAGTTAGAATTTTGTTCCAATGCAATGAATTTTTAACCGGCAGGGGACTATGTATTTCCATGCAATACTCACAGAATGCTTGTTTATGATAAAGTTGAAATTCAAGGCAATATTTGCCAAAAGTGAAGCTTGTCCTTTTACCATCTTTGATATGACTTCCGGTTAACAGTATAATCATAGTTTATTAGGAATCGGGAAGTGTTTATAATTGAAAGAAATAACTTTCTCCCTATTCCTCTGTATTGCTTTTATAACCATTACTACTGGACTGTAATGGTACTAACAAGAAAAGGGGGTTACTTGCATCTTATTGTGAGTAAAACTCATAGTTTTTGAAAGGACTGAAGATCTTACATTTCAGTAATTAATGAAATAGCTCAAAAATGTCTTATGAATTTTGCTTCTAGGATTATGTGAATATACTATGCACACAGTTCCAGTTTAGACAAAGGTTTATTTTCAATGGCATCAAAATATTCACTGGTTTATCGAGAAAATACTCAAGGAGACAAATGTTTTTTGTTGTTGTTTTTTCAGACTTCCCATTGGAAAGATGCTTTGAAGATTCTAAAATTGGCAGTGACACGATCGTCAACTCTTGCTGCAGCCCCACCAAATCTAGGAATTGGTGAAATGAGCACCTATGTCTCTCATACTTCATTTGCGGAGACAGAAATCTTTGTGAAGAAAGAATTACCTGGTTTGTTGATTAAAATTGTTACATATTTTAAAGAAATCAGTTTGAGCACAAATAATTGAAAAGCATTTTTTTTTTCTTTTGAAGAAAAGAAGAAAATGTGTATGAGTCATTTGTGATGATATTGGGATTTACTATTATAGTGTCTGATGGTCATAGGACTAAGAATCAGGATAGGAAACAAATGTCTGACTAGGGGGTAAAATGCAAGTTTTGTCTTTTATCTTGTAAACAGCTATAAATAGAGTAAATTTTCAGAATTTTTCGATCTACATCTTGTCTATTTACAAAACCATCAGACGACTACTTATAGGAGTTATTGCCCTTAAAAGACAAATTTTACCATTTTTTTCAGTTTTGTTTATTATCTTGAAAAATATAATAGATAAAGAGAAACTTTATATAGCAGAAATGTTAACCAAGACAAGATCTACGAATAAGTTTATTTCGGTATAATCGCATGCAACTGTCTATTGGAGGTTTTGCCCTTTAATGTCAGACAATTTTTACCATTTTTTAACCGGATTTTCGAAGTAAAAAAAATCGGTTATCGTTTTGGGGATGTACGGTGGGCGGGCAGACGGGCGGGCGGACGGGTGTCTGCCAAACAGTGTCTCTTCAATAACAGGAAAACCCTTTGACAAAATTTTTTCAAATTTAGATATGTTGTTTCCTGCGACTAAATGAAGTTTAAGTTCAATTTTCCTGATTTTAGCTTTTCTCGTTTGTGAGTTATCGCCCTTTTTAATATCCATAAGTGGTATTTTTTTGTGATTGAGTTATTTTCCTTTGAACAGAAATTGTTAATTATATACATAAAGTTTGATTACACTAAGTCTTTAAAGATAATTTTCACCTGTTTATATGTCCTGTTATCAGTTTACTAAACATATGGTTAATGTCTTATCTTGAGTGACAGATTTATTTGAAAATTTTCTGTTTTCTAAGTGTTGATGATTAAAAGCTATATAGGAGTAAATATAGTTAGAAATTTACTGTTCATTATTAGACATTTTGAAGATAATTACAGATAAGTTTTATTGATTTTTAAAAGACATTGTATTAAAGATGATAAATAAGATTTTTGATTTTTTTTTTCTTTTCTTTGGTAAATTGTAAATTGTTTGTGATTCTGTAAAAACTAATTTTCTGAATGCTATATATATTTTTTTGATTAGGTGAACTCCTTTCAAAACTTAGCTTATATTGTCTATTAATAAACATATATTTAGATTTCTGATTTTGGGCCCAGTTTTCAAGTTGGTCCAAATCGGGGTCCAAAATTAAACTGTGTTTGATTTCAACATAAATTGAAGATATATAGGGTTCTTTGAAATGCTGAATCTAAACCTGTATTTATTTTCATTATTAGTAAGATAATACCACATTGAGGTACAAAGGGTCCTTAATTAAACTTTTGTTTAATCAACAATTGAATTCTTGGGTTCTTTGATATGCTGATTTTAACAATTTTGAGTGTTAAATCATATCTAATTTTAGAGAACTTAGTCATCCCTGGTTGTTGTTATTATATTATTGATTATAATTTGAAAAATTACATCATATCTAATTTTATAGAACTTAGTCATCACTTCACTGGTTTATTGATTATAATCATATCTATTTATCCAGTTTGAGTTATTTCCCTTTGCACAGAAAATATATGGATAAAATTAAATTGTGTTTCATTTTAACTTACATTAGATATATATAGGGTTCTTTCAAATGCTGAATCTAAACCTGTATTTAAATATTAGATTTTTGGGCCCAGTTTTCAAGTTGGTCCAAATCAGAGTCCAAAATTAAACTTTGTTTGATTCACAAAAATTGAATTTATGTGGTTCCTTGAAATGCTGAATTTTACCATGTATTGAGAGATTTTGGATTGTGAGCTCCTTTATCAAATTGGTCCACATTGTGGTCCAAAGGGTCCTAAATTAAACTTTTGTATGATTTCATCAAAAATTGAATTTTTGGAGTTCTTTAATATGCTGATTCTGACAATGTACTTAGATTTTGGATATTGGACTATAATAGGTAAATATCCAATTTCAAATATTTCAGTTCTTTGACCACACTCATTTTGTGTCACAAACCTATGCTGTGTCAAATATTCAACCACAATCCAAATTCAGAGCAGTTTTAAGCTTAAATGTAGTGTCCATACTTGCTCAACTGTTCAGGGTGCGACCTCTGCAGGAAAATCTGGTTTGCTGTCACTCTGACAACCTCTTTTTGACACTAGTTTGTGTTTTTGCCTAATATCTTACAAACTATAATAGATAGAAAGAAACTTTAAATAGCAAAATTGATCAGCAAGACAAAATCTTTGAACAAGACTAATGGCCTTAAATGTCAGTGGGTTCCTTATTGAAGTTATTGCTCTTTAATGAGGATTTTTAACAACTTTTAGTGTTTTTGCCTATTAACTTTGAAAACTATAATAAACAGATAGACACTTTGAATAGCAAAAATGGTCAGCAAGAGAGGATCTACAAATAAGTCAACATGGATGTTATTGCAAGTCCACTCCTTATTAGAGTTCTTACTCTTTAATGATGATTTTATCAATTTTTTTGCGTTTTTCCTTATTATCTTGAAAACTATAAAAAAAAAAAAATAGATAGACTCTTTCAATAGCAAAAATGATCAGTCAGAAAAGATCTACAAATAAGATAAATTTTGACAAAATTGTTAGTAGATCTTATATAGGAATGGTTGCCCTTAAATGATTTTTTTTTACTTTTTGTTTTGGGCAAAAACTAAAGAAGTTAGAGAGAGAAACTGTAAACAGAAAAAAATGATCTGCAATACAAGATCAACAAAAAGATTTTTGTCATAAATTCTATTCAAGTTTACAATGTTGGACACTGCCCATTGTTGATATTGCACATAGACCTAGGTGATTGACACAGGCTCTTTAGAGCCTCTTGTTTCATGACATCACAATGTCAAATTCAGAGGAAAGCAGTAAAATTTGACATAATAGTTGAATTTTAACCAATGAAGAACTGAAACCTAACAAACTACACATTGATTATTTAAATATACTGGTTGGTGTTTTATATATAAATCGACTAAGCATTCAAGTTAGTAATTCTATGCTCCTAGGCACCTCTAGTTATGGAGTAACATTCAACTATCTCCTGCTAGGCACCTCTAGTTATGGAGTAACATTCAACTATCTCCTGCACATAGCGTGTTTATCTCCCAGTTGTTAATATATTCCAGGAGCTGAGTTTCCTCTGAAAATTATCCTTAATGAAATGGTTCTGCTTACAAATGTCCTCAATTATTAATTTGTAGTCACCTCATTAAAAATTTCATAGACACCACCATGACTTAGTTGACAAATGTGTAATATGTGTGACAATGATGTTTATTTGCAGTAGCATAAACAATCTCATTCTTCTTTACTTATCTATGATAACACTGAATACACATCAACAAATTTTTAGTTTTCATTAACAACATGATAGGTGCCTTTAGTTTAGCAGGAACTTCTTACACTTCCAAAGAACCTGAGATTACTAAGTCACAGATGACCATTGATATGTTCCATTCATGGAGTTACAATCATGTCCTTTTTTATGATCATAGAATGAAACTTATTACAGGATTTAAATGTGTCTTGAGAACACTATGAGTGCCATTAGTGAAGCAGAAATTACTTATCATCAGGAACACCTGGCTCTTCAATCCCCAAATTTTTGGGGTTGTGATGCTCAATATTAGTTTTCTGTGGACTGTTTTTATACGACCGCAAAAATTGAAAATTTTTTGGTCGTATATTGGTATGACGTTGGCGTCGTCGTCGTCGTCGTCGTCGTCGTCCGAAGACACATTGGTTTTCGCACTCTAACTTTAGTTTAAGTGAATGGATCTCCATGAAATTTTACCATAAGGTTCAATACCACGAAAGGAAGGTGGGGATTGATTTTGGGGGTTATGGTACCAACAGTTAAGGAATTAGGGGCCAAAAAGGGGCCAAAAATAAGCATTTTTGTAACTTCCAGACAATAACTTGTGTGTAAGTGTATGGATCTCTCTGACATTGTACCACAAGGTTCCATATCACAAAGGGAAGGCTGTAATTGATTTTGGGGGTAATTGCCTCAAAATTTTAGGAATTAGGGGCCAAAAAAGGGGCAAAAAACAAGCATTTTTCTAGTTTCATGACAATAACTTGTGTGTAAGTGTTTGGATATTTCTGAAATTGTACTACAAGGTTCCATATCACAAAGGGAAAGCTGGAATTGAGTTTGGGGGTAATAGCCCTAAAGTTTAGGAATTGGGGGCCAAAAAGGGGCCAAAAATAAGCATTTTTCTAGTTTCCAGACAATAACTTGTGTTCAAGTGTATGGATCCCTCTGAAATTGTACTGCAAGGTACCATACCACAAAGGGAAGGCTTGGATTGAGTTTGGGGGTGATGAATCATAAGGGGGTTCAAAAAATTTGGGGGGGGGGATTTTTTTTTTTCTTTTTTTTTCTTTTTTTCCTTTTTTTTTTCTTTTAAAATTTTCCATTTTAAGTTGGTTATTTCTGATTAATATTTTAAAGCAAATAATAATGATATGGTAGGAGATACACACCAAACAGGATGTGTAAATTATTATATAATAAGTATTGTGCAATAGCAAGAAATTTTCAATTGCACAGTATTGCACAATTGCAAGAAATCTTCAATTGCACAGTATTGCACAATAGCAAGAAATCTTCAATTGCACAGTATTGCGCAATAGCAAGAAATATCCAATAGCACAATATTGCGCAATAGCAAGAAATTGTCAATTGTACAGTATTGCACAATAGTAAGAAATATTCAATTGCACAGTATTGTGCAAAAGAAGATACTTCGTATAAATTGCTTATTTCTTGATCAATTTCAATGGGGTTTTATTCTTGAATTCTTGGGGTTCTTTAATATGCTGAATCTAACCGTGTATTAAGTTTTTGGATTTTGGGCCCCGTTTTTAAATTGGTCCACATTGAGGTCCAAAGGGTCCAAAATTTAACTTTGTTTGATTTCATCAAAAATTGAATTATTGGGGTTCTTTGATATGCCGAATCTAACCGTGTATTTAGATTCTTAATTTTTGGTTCCGTTTTCAAATTGGTCTACATTAAGGTCAAAAGGGTCCAAAATTAAACTTAGTTTGATTTTAACAAAAATTGAATTTTTAGGGTACTTTGATATGCTGAATCTAAACATGTATTTAGATTTTTGATTATGGGCCCAGTTTTCAAGTTGGTCCAAATCGGGGTCCAAAATTAAACTTTATTTGATTTCAACAAAAATTTAATATATGGGGTTCTTTGATATGCTGAATCTAACCATGTATTTAGATTTTTGATTTTTGGGCCCCGTTATCAACTTTGTCCACATTGAGGTCAAAAGGGTCCAAAATTAAACTTTGTTTGATTTCATCAAAAATTGAATTCTTGGGGTTCTTTGATATGCTGAATCTAACCATGTATTTAGATTTTTTATTTGTGGACCCCCTATCAAATTGGTTCATATTGAGGTCAAAAGGGTCCAAAATTAAACTTTGTTTGATTTCATCAAAAATTGAATTATTGGGGTTCTTTGATATGCCAAATCTAACCGTGTATTTAGATTTTTAATTTTGGGTCCCGTTTTTAAATTGGTCTACATTAAGGTCCAAAGGGTCCAAAATTAAACTTAGTTTGATTTTAACAAAAATTGAATTCTTGGGGTTCTTTGATATGCTGAATCTAAACATGTGTTTAGATTTTTGATTATGGGCCCAGGTTTCAAGTTGGTCCAAGTTGGGGTCCAAAATTAAACTTTGTTTGATTTCAACAAAAATTGAATATATGGGGTTCTTTGATATGCTGAATCTAAACATGTATTTAGATTTTAGATTTTTGGCCCAGTTTTCAAGTTGGTCCAAATTGGGGTCCAAAATTAAACTTTGTTTGATTTCAACAAAAATTGAATATATGGGGTTCTTTGATATGCTGAATCTTACCATGTATTTAGATTTTTTATTTGTGGGCCCGCTATCAAATTGGTTCATATTGAGGTCAAAAGGGTCCAAAATTAAACTTTGTTTGATTTCATTAAAAATTTAATTATTGGGGTTCTTTGATATGCCAAATCTAACCGTGTATTTAGATTTTTAATTTTGGGTCCCGTTTTTAAATTGGTCTACATTAAGGTCCAAAGGGTCCAAAATTAAACTTAGTTTGATTTTAACAAAAATTGAATTTTTGGGGTTCTTTGATATGTTGAATCTAAACATGTGTTTAGATTTTTGATTATGGGACCAGTTTTCAAGTTGGTCCAAGTTGGGGTCCAAAATTAAACTTTGTTTGATTTCAACAAAAATTGAATATATGGGGTTCTTTGATATGCTGAATCTAAACATGTATTTAGATTTTAGATTTTTGGCCCAGTTTTCAAATTGGTCCAAATTGGGGTCCAAAATTAAACTTTGTTTGATTTCAACAAAAATTGAATATATGGGGTTCTTTGATATGCTGAATCTTACCATGTATTTAGATTTTTTATTTTGTGTGCCTGCTATCAAATTGGTTCATATTGAGGTCAAAAGGGTCCAAAATTAAACTTTGTGATTTCATCAAAAATTGAATTATTGGGGTTCTTTGATATGCCAAATCTAACCGTGTATTTAGATTTTTAATTTTGGGTCCCGTTTTTTAAATTGGTCTACATTAAGGTCCAAAGGGTCCAAAATTAAACTTAGTTTGATTTTAACAAAAATTGAATTCTTGGGGTACTTTGATATGCTGAATCTAAACATGTGTTTAGATTTTTGATTATGGGACCAGTTTTCAAGTTTGTCCAAGTTGGGGTCCAAAATTAAACTTTGTTTGATTTCAACAAAAATTGAATATATGGGGTTCTTTGATATGCTGAATCTAACCATGTATTTTGATTTTGGACATTGGACCATAATAGGTAAATTAAAAAAATTCAAGTTCTTAGACCACATTCTTTCTGTGTCAGAAACCTATGCTGTGTCAAATATTTAATCACAATCCAAATTCAGAGCTGTATCAAGCTTGAATGTTGTGTCTATACTTGCCCCAACTGTTCAGGGTTCGACCTCTGCGGTCGTATCAAGCTGCGCCCAGCGAAGCATTTTATTATGGTTGTTGTCTCCTGTTGATGAAGTCGAAAAAGGCATGCTGTTTCCGCGGTCAGCAGCAGCAGCAGCGTCAATAAGGTATCAGTTTGTGATTAGGTCAGTTTATGGGAAACCACTAGTTGTAGGTCAATGATATTTGGTATGCAGCTGTATAATCATTGGTACATCTCATTTCCATGGAGATTATTTGGCCCCGCCCCCTCAGTCATGGTCTATTGACTTTGAAACTTTTGCTTAGTTTATATGTATTAGTTTGTGATTAGGTCAATTTAAGGGGAACCTTTAGGGGCAGATCAATGATATTTGGTATGCAGTTATATAAGCATTGGCACATCTCATTTCCATGGAGATTATTAGTCCTACCCCTCAGTCATGGTCTATTGACTTTGATTTTTTGCTTAGTTTACATGTATATAAACTCATCATAGATACCAGGACTAAATTTTGTATATACGCCAGACGCGCGTTTCGTCTACAAAAGACTCATCAGTGACTACATGTATTAGTTTGTGATTAGGTCAGTTCAAGGGGAACCATTAGTGGTAGGTCAATTATATTTTGTATACAGATGTATTATCATTAGCACATCTCATTTCCATAGTGATTATTTGGTCCTGTCCCTTCAGTCATGGTTCATTAACTTTGAATGATTTGCATATATAAAAATAAGAAGATGTGTTTTGATTGCCAATGAGACAAATCTCCACCAGAGACCAAAGGACATAGAAGTTAACAACTATAGATCACAATAGTTTACATGTTTAAATATTGCCATTTAAATTTCAACATTTGCATTATACTATCAAACGTACAAAATGCGAGACATATCTCTGTGTCAACAGTTTATTTTTATACGACTGCAAAAATTTGATTTGCGGTCGTATATTGGTATGACGTTGGCGTCGTTGTCGGCGTCCAGAGACACATTGGTTTTCGCACAATAACTTTAGTTTAAGTGAATGGATCTCTATGAAATTTTACCATAAGGTTCAATACCACAAAAGGAAGGTTGGTATTGATTTTGGGGGTTATGCTACCAACAGTTAAGAATTAGGGGCCAAAAAGGGGCCAAAAATAAGCATTTTTCTAGTTTCAAGGCAATAACTTGTGGAATGGTGTATGGATCTCTCTGAAATTATACCACAAGTTTCCATACCACAAAGGGATGGTTAGGATTTGCTTTGGGGGGTTATGGCTCAAACCGTTTAGGAATTAGGGGCAAAAAAGGGGGAAAACAAGGGTGTCCTGGTTAATGGACAAATACTTTAGTACAAAACATAATTTAAAGCAGTGTAAGGGAGGTAATTCAAATACATCATTTGAATAACCTCCCTTACACTGCTTTTGAATTATGTATAAAGTAATGGTTAATGAACATTTAAGACAATTTAAAAGCAGTGTAAGGGAGGTAATCCAAATACAACGTTTTGATTACCTCCCTTACACTGCTTTTAAATTATGTTTAAAGAAATGCATATTTATAAAGGAAGGCCAGTAAAAATATCTGCAAATTTTGCAATTTTTTTTTTTACAAAAAAATCCATATGAAAGATTTGACACCATATTTTAAATTCTATTATAAAATAGATTAAGTTAGCACTATGGTAAATTTAAATGGGTAATTATGGTTGCAAACTCCATTGGAAATTTGAATTGAGATTATGACCATATCTTGAGGGAAAGAATTTTTTAGGGGAAAAAAAGGGGGGGGGGGGGGTCAATTTTTTCTCATTTCAGATTTCAGAAATTAAAAAGAAAAATTATTATTTTTTTTGCAAAAAAAAAGTGTGTGTGTGTGTGGGGTTAATACGCAACAGCATAGTGTATTGCACAAAAGCAAAGAAAAAAAGGGGGGGGGGGGGGGTAAATTTTTTATTTTTTTTTGTGGGGGGGAGGAGGGGGGGGTCAATTCGCAACAGCAAAGTGTATTGCACAAAAGCAAAAAATTGAATATAAATTCAAATCATATAACCAATTCTCAGTTCTTTGACTACAGTTATTCAGTGTCAGAAACCTTTTATGTGTCAAATATTTAATTACAATCCAAATTCAGACCTGTATCAAGCGCGAATATTGTGTCCATTTTTGCCCCAACTGTTCAGGGTTGGACCTCTGCGGTCGTATCCAGCTGCGCTCGGTAAAGCAATTTATTTCTTTTGTCATGATTTTTTCTGTCTTTCTTTTACTTCTTGTTTCTGATTTTCCCCTTCATATCTTTTCTTTTGTCCAAGATAAAAGTTCATTTGTTGAATGTTTCTTTCTTGGAGAATCCAGTTTGTACAGCTAAACTTAAAATATCCTCAGCGTCAAAATGTGAAATAATTATATACAAAATGTTTGGCATATTAACTTTTATTTTAGGAAGGACATTGGATTTCACTGTTGATCTTGCTAATGTTCCAATAATTGGACAGAAATATGTCAACCTTCAAGAAACAGTTCCTGAGGGATCAGTTCCTCCTTTGTCTCCTGCCAGAAAAGGGTCCAGTCACATTGATATTGAATCTAACTGGAAAAGACCACAAGCTTCTCAGGTTTATAAATAATTAAATCAAACAAAAACAAACTCTCTTGTGACTGAAGATGGTAGACCATTCTTTTCTACATGTTAATTGCAGCAAACAACCTATCACTTTATTGTACACTTTATTATATCCCCACTCAGAAGGAGGGGTATACTGTTCTTTATTTATTTTTAAATTTCGAACAATTAAAACATATCCATGACATACATTCAGTTTATTGCATATTCAATGTGCGCAATGAATATACTACTACAGATTTGTTTTGTTTCCTTACTTCATAAGAATAATATATACAACAAACAAATTGAAAATTTGAAATTTGGCCGATTATTTGTCATGGCATTTATTCAACAATATAAACCAAAAAACAAGGAACCTCAACAAACTGGCCAACAAGTTAAAACTTGATGACAATTGATCACTGAAGGGAAAACCAACAGTGAATGCAAAACAATTTCTAGCTGCTGGGCAGATCCATAACAGCTCAATGAACAATATTTGAATAAATCACTGCCAATTGAATCATGTTGATAATGACATCCAACGCACTTTCCATTTTAAACTAATGCCATGACGATAGACATATTTTTTGTCGAGCCTTCGACTTTTGTCGAAAAAGAGAGACATAGCGATCCTACATTCCGTCGTCGTCGTTGTCGTCGGCGGCGGCGTTCACAAATATTCACTCTGTGGTTAAAGTTTTTAAAATTTTAATAACTTTCTTAAACTATCCTGAATTTCTACCAAACTTGGACAGAAGCTTGTTTATGATCATAAGATAATATTCAAAAGTAAATTTTGTAAAAAAAAATTCCATTTTTTCCGTATTTTACTTATAAATGGACTTAGTTTTTCTGCCAGGAAACATTACATTCACTCTGTGGTTAAAGTTTTTGAAATTTTAATTACTTTCTTAAACTATCCTGGATTTCTACCAAACTTGGAAAGAATCTTGTTTATGATCATAAGATAGTATCCAGAAGTAAATTTTGTAAAAAAAAAATTCCATTTTTTCCGTATTTTACTTATAAATGGACTTAGTTTTTCTGCCAGTTAACATAACATTCACTCTGTGGTTAAAGTTTTTAAAATTTTAACTACTTTCTTAAACTATCCTGGATTTGTACCAAACTTGGACAGAAGCTTGTTTATGATTAAAAGCTAGTATCTAGAAGGAAATTTTGTTAAAATTTTGTTCCATTTTTTCCGTAATTTACTTATAAATGGACTTAGTTTTTCTTCCAGTTACATTATATACAGTCTGCAGTTTAAGTTTTTAAAACATTTATTAGATTCATAAACTATCCTGGATTTTTACCAAACTTGGACAGAAGCTACTTACAATCAAAAGATAGTATAGAGAGGAATATTTTTATTAATTTTTTTCCTCATTTTTGTTGAGCCAGCGATTAACAGCAAAAGTAGGCGAGACACTGGGTTCCGCGGAACCCTCACGAATTTTCTTCATTTATTACTGCAAATTCCTTGAGTTTTCGGTTTTCATTGCATCTGCTGATGAATGTTGAAACTTCTGAGATTTTTGATAATACATGACAATCTAATCGGAACATTCAATACATTTGGATCTGTTCACCATGCAATCTGAAAAATAAACTAAAACAGCAGCAATTTTGTTTATTAAAGGGAGGGAGGGTGGGTTGTACTATCTTGATGAAAAATTGTCGTGGAATGAAAATTGAGAAGAAACACGTTTTTATATATGACCAAAGTCCACAAGGCGCTTCAAAGCATATTCTTTTGTATGTTTAAACATATGGTTATGTAAAGATTTAAATTGCAAACAGTAAATAATGGACTGTACATTTAAAACACAATAAAACAAATAAATGTATTTTCAATGCAATAAATCAATTTAATTATTAGATCATTTAAAAATTTTAATAATACATGTAAGATATGAAATATCATAATTATAATAAATACATTATAGTTGGAAATATTAGACATTTTATATAGAGCAGATCAAAAGACATATAACATTAAGTAACAGATAGAAGGAAAAAAAGAGGAATTATCCAGTTACATCTCTAACTTTATTTTTAAGTGTAACACATCCATGATGAATAATATTTTAAAAATGAATTGTTCAAGACGACCACTATTTTTACTGTGTCTTTGTAAGAGTAAATTTTGTCGTGTAGTAAAATTTGTCCGCCAGACTTTTTTTCCTAGGTATTCAAGTCCATGACCATAATTTCACTAGGAATTAAGTCCCAGGATAAATTTTCCTACGAAAATAAGTCTATAGCTAGTAAAATATACCTGGCACTTATTTTCCTAGGAAAAGGGCTTGCTTTTCTAGAAAATTTATGATCACCTAGGAATATTAATGACATGGACATGAATTTCTAGGAAAATTAGTCTGGGTACATAAATTTTATTAAATGATTAATGCACAACTGTTAAACAATATTAAAACATAACAATTAAAAATTCCATTGTTTACATGTAAATGATTTCTTTGATTACAAATTTTCATCGTAAAATAAAGGACATGGAAGTTTTTATGTAGGAATAGTAATAACATGGACGTGAATTCCTAGGAAAATTAGTCAGGGGACATGAATTACTGACAACGGACAAAAAATACTAGTAAATTCTGTAACCATGGACTTTTTATACTAGTAATATGTGTTTTCGCCCGGAAACATTTTAACAGGACCAATTTATCTTTTATATCTTTTTACACTTTTCATTTAGTCTTAATTAGTTCCTTTGATATCTTTCTAAAACTTGTTGGCACTTTTGTGGCCCATTATGTTAATATGTTGCAAATTAAGAAGCCAGACTTGTATAACCACTTCAAAAGCACCTGAAAAAAAACATGCAGAATATTGGACTTGATGTATGTATCCTGTGAAAGTATCCTGCATATACTCTTTCAGTTACATATACATTCAAATTTTACATGTTTTTAGTTACCCCCAGTTTTAGATTAATTATTTTTTTACTACAGCAGTTTGTATTACTCGTTTGTGTTCTTCCCATATTGTATTCACCATTAATATTAAATAAATGAAGTAAAGGTTACATTTTGAACACCAAACATTGTTTTACATTCAATCTTTTCCTTGGAGGATTGAAGATTAGTTACTTCTGAATCGAACTCAGTACAGGTGTAATGAATGGAAATTCTTTGATAGGAAAATTTCTCATTCATTATTTATAATTTTGTATAATTAAAATATTGATTAATGATTCATGTACTTCTGCATACTTTATTTTTCTCAAATATCTAGATGAGCATCTCTAACATTGAAATCATTTCATAATAATAATAATAATAATAATAATAAATTCTTTATTTAAAGAGGGTAAACTCAGTTAGTTACAATAAACTAATCTTCCCTGAGGCCCTCACATACAAATTACAATACAATCAAAAACAGATATTTACACATAGTTAATTTACAGTCAATTAGTTCAATGTAATATTACTAACATGATAAGATATAAGGCTGTTCAAGATGTACATGTAGTCAAAAAATCAAATACAAATAAAAATAAAAGAATATACAAATACATTGTAGAAAACATAATCTTATCAGGACTGTGTTAAGTACTTCTTGATACTTTGTTTAAAAGTATAAGTGTTTTGAGCTTTACGCATTTTGTGTGGTAGTCCATTCCATAACACTGATCCAGAATAAACAATAGATTTCTTAAATAGCTCAGCTTTTGGCTTAGGAACTATCAGATTACCTTGAGTGACGCCTCTCAGGGAGTAAGGATTATTATCTGATTTCAGTTTAAACTTTTGAACTAGGTACATTGGTGCTTCCATACGCATACATTTATATAGAAGTAAATATTTGTGGTATTTTATTCTATTGTCAACTGTCATCCACCCAAGTTCTTTAAATAAGGGGGCTGAGGGGGATAAAGGAACTGCATCTAGAATTAATCTTGCTGCCCTTTTTTGGAGTTTTAAAATTCTTGCTATCCCTTCATTTTTACATTCACCCCAAATAATACAGCAGTAGTCAATCAGGGGCAGAATATACCCATTGTAATATGTTTTCCTTGCATTTATATCTAAAAATTTCTTTATTTTAGAAAGAAGGTATATTCTGGATGATATATTAGCACAAACTTGGTCAATTTGATTTCTCCAGTTAAGTGTGCTGTCAATTTTAACACCTAATAACTTTTCACATGAAGAATTTTGTAATACTTTTGAATCTATTATTAAGTTTGGTTGATAAGTCTGAATTGATAGTTTCTGCATTGTTCCAGTAACCAAACATTTTGTTTTATTTGCATTAATGAACATGTTATTCATTTTGCACCACTCTTCAACCCTGTATAAATCTTCTTGAACATCATCATGTATATTTTCTATGTTTTTCCTTGATTTATGAAGAGTGGTGTCATCAGCATATAGGTCTGTTTCACAATTTTCAATGCATAAGGGAAGGTCGTTTATAAATAGCACAAACAATAGAGGACCAAGTATAGAACCTTGGGGGACACCAAATTTTACATTTTGTTGTTCAGAGTAAACATTACAAATGTTTACCTGCTGTTTTCTGTTATTCTGTTATTCTTATAATGAAGAAACAAAGCTGATAATGAAATATTCTTGTTGGATGTTTTTATTCCTTCCACATAAAACATTCGAAAATTACTGTGGAAGTGCGTTTTTCCCTGCATAATTTTCATTTCAACACATATTTTTTTTTTTACAACTATTTGTGAGAAATATATGAATAGTTTCTGTTACATGGTTATTATATTTTTAAGACCAGAGCAAGAGAAAGGCTTGCAGACTTATTGACATGTTATGGACAGAAGAAATTACCAAAGAGTCCATCTGTAAGTTATATTTTTGTTAGTAGAGACAAATATTGTTAGAGGAGATGATCACATTTGTAACTAAATACTCATAGTTAACAAAATGTTGTTGGAAGGCACATGTTTAGAAGATATAATTATTTTTAATTATTAACTCTGATTTAAGCACTTAATTTTCAAATACATCATGTACATATTTGAGAGTAAGGAATATTGAGCACATACAAGAACAAAATAAGTATATGTATGATGAGCCAAGAGAAACTTGGGTAAACAATTTTGTTGGTATGTGAGTAAAATCTTTGTTTTTTCACTAAAATATTTCGAAGTTGCTTTTTATGAGATATATACTATCTAATTTTATTTTTACCCGTCTGCCATCAATCCCTCAATCTGTCTCAAAAACTCTTATATTTTATTGCTACCTTAATGGATATATAGCGTAAATTATGATTTTGAGGTCAGTATTCTAAGGTCAAGGTCAAAATTGCTAAATATATACTAAAATTAGGGCAGAAAAGCCATTTCCAGATCATAACTTAAAACTAATCATATCTGTCAACTGACCCGTATTTTGTAGGTGTGACCTGTGATATTACTAGCTAATCTGAGATTTGTAAATGACCCATAACGGTCATCAAATAACCTGGGATTTCAGTATCAGACCCGTTTTCACCCATATTCTAGTTCCATGAGACTTGGGTTCTTATTTGAAAATTTTTCCTTGAAATACTTTAAAATTTGACGTTCAGTTTGAACTAAATTTACTGTTCAAGATTGTTCAACAACTGCCAAACAAAAGTTTGTCACTCCATTGCTGTGAAAGTCACTAATCTGCTAATTGTCTCATTAATTTTTGCATACAGAGGTGTCAAACTTCAAAGGAAATAGCCAAGAAAGTCTTAAAATCGGTGTAGGCAAAAATTCAATAATCTATGACAAGTGCATAAGTAAATTCATTTTCAAACAATACTAATCTCTAAATGCTAAATTGTTCATAATAGTAATCCCAAACCTGAATTAAACGACTTAAAACGTAAAAATATGCCTAAATCCCTCTTCAATCCATGTGCAAAAACTGACAGGACAAAAATGCATTTCTTCTTATTCTCCTGTATATTGCTCCTGTAATAGGAGCACCTTGGAATCAAGGGAAAACACTATCCATTTATAAGAATATATTCTCAACCAGTACATGTATTCATAAATGACATAACAATTTTTACATCCCTCAGGCTGGTCCTGTATGAATTAAAACTGTCGTGGATCTCTAAAAAACCTATATAAGGGGAACAACTCTTAACTATAACTATCTAAATAGAAACCCTCAACTGTATCAAAACTCAACAATATGAAACTTCTGAACTAAATGTATATAATAAAATTGTCATAATACAAGAAGAGGTTTGAATTAGTTATTTGATGAATTACTAAAACATTCAACCTAATAGTATGTTGCAACAATGTGCCAAAAGTATGCCTTTATTTGTTCCATATTTTGATAAATTATACAATGAATTTTAATTACTTTACTCTTATAAAGTAAATATGAAAAACTTATGTAAAATTCAGCTGAAAAAAGTTTTGTTCACATTATGACCTGAAATTTTTTTACCCAATGCAGGTCATGACCTGCTTTTTCACTTTCAGAAGTTGACAGGTATGTTATATGGGAATGGAACCATACTTCAGTATATTGTCACATATAAATGGATGGAAGATCCCTATACATTTTAAGGTCAAAGTCATAGTTACTAAAAATAGACTGAAAAAAAACCCAGAAAAGTGGTTTGTTTAGGGGCCAGCTGAAGGACGCCTTCGGGTGCGGGAGTTTCTCTCTGCATTGAAGACCCATTGGTGGCCTTCGGCTGTTGTCTGCTCTATGGTCGGGTTGTTGTCTCTTTGACACATTCCCCATTTCCATTCTCAATTTTATTTTTGATTATGGCTAGGGGAACCTTATATGGGATTGCAACAAAACATGCATCTATGGTCCCCTTTAAATTGAGAACTCCATTAATTTTAAGATAATTGCTTCCTAGTTAAGGGTCATATTTTAACCATCTTGCATTTATATAAAAATAAGGAGATGTGGTATGATTGCCAATGAAACAACTATCCACCAAAGTTCAAATGAAGTAGATGTAAGCAATTATAGGCAACTGTGACAATGAGAAGCAATGAGAAAAAACCTATGCCTTATAGTCGACTATAAAAGGCCCAGACATGAATAATATGAAACAATTCAATTGAGTAAAACTAGCTGCCTAATTTATAACAAAACAATTACGAAAAAACAAATATGACAGACATGAACCAACAACAACCACTGAACTACAGGCTCCTGACTTGGGACAGTCACATACAGGATGTGGCAGGGTTAAACATGTTTGTGAGCCCTCAACCCTTCCCTAACCTGGGTCAGTGGTGTTGCATCCCTCACAACAAAAAACACACACAAAGTACAGATCTGAGAGTACTCGCAGTAACTAACAGCTAATTCAAAGCCAATAACAACTAATAAAATAAATTGTGTATCTAAGACTTAAAAGACTAATATATGGTCACATTTAGTGAGCAGATGATACCTATCAATTTTGACATTAGTATATAAAGGCCATAGTTATTGAAAAAACAAATTAAGTGCAGAAAGCAGGTTTCCCTATGATCATCATGATAACTCAAGGACCTCACATGGAATTTGAACAAGGTTTGGACATATTGTACATATAAGGGAAGGGAGATCCCAATTGATTTAAGATCAACACTACCAATGGCAAAATCATAGTTACATGTAGCAGTATTTGAGTGTAATTTGTAAAATATAGGGTCGTAGAAATTTGATTATCATAATTTCCTTTTTTATACACCCGTTTACAGGACGTATTATGGTATACCGTTGTCCGTCTGTCCGTCTGTCCGTCCGTCGTCAACATGTCGGACATTAACTCAAAAATGCTTTAACCAATTTGCATAAAACTTTGGTGAATTGTTTATATCTATTGACATGAGCTCCCTTTAGAATTTTATAAATTTTACATTTTACATTTCTGAGTTCTGGGGTTTTTGTCGAGCCTGCGACTTTTGTCGCAGAAAGCTTGACATAGGGATAGTGATCTGGCGGCGGCGGCGGCGGCGGCGGCGGCGGCGGCGTTAGCTAACTTCTTAAAAGCTTTATATTTTAGAAGGTGGAAGGTCTGGATGCTTCATACTTTGTATATGGATGCCTCATGTTACAAAGTTTCCGTCAGTCACATGTCCAATGTCCTTGACCTCATTTTCATGGTTCAGTGACTACTTGAAAAAAAAGTTCAGATTTTTTGTAATGTTAGATTCTCTCTTATTATAAGTAATAGGATAACTATATTTGGTATGTGCGTACCTTGCAAGGTCCTCATGCCCGTCAGACAGTTTTCACTTGACCTCGACCTCATTTCATGGATCAGTGAACAAGGTTAAGTTTTGGTGGTCAAGTCCATATCTCAGATACTATAAGCAATAGGTCTTGTATATTCGGTGTATGGAAGGACTGTAAGGTGTACATGTCCAACTGGCAGGTGTTATCTGACCTTGACCTCATTTTCATGGTTCAGTGGTTATAGTTAAGTTTTTGTGTTTTGGTCTGTTTTTCTTATACTGTATGCCATAGGTCTACTTTATTTGGTGTATGGAATGATTGTAAGGTGTACATGTCTAGCGGGCAGGTGTCATCTGACCTTGACCTCATTTTCATGGTTCAGTGGTCAAAGTTAAGTTTTTGAGTTTTGGTCTTTTTTTCTAATACTATATGCAATAGTTCAACTATATTTGGTATGTGCGTACCTTGCAAGGTCCTCATGCCCGTCAGACAGTTTTCACTTGACCTCGACCTCATTTTATGGATCAGTGAACAAGGTTAAGTTTTGGTGGTCGTCCATATCTCAGATACTATAAGCAATAGGTCTTGTATATTCGGTGTATGGAAGGACTGTAAGGTGTACATGTCCAACTGGCAGGTGTCATCTGACCTTGACCTCATTTTCATGGTTCAGTGGTTATAGTTCAGTTTTTGTGTTTTGGTCTGTTTTTCTTATACTGTATGCCATAGGTCTACTATATTTGGTGTATGGAATGATTGTAAGGTGTACATGTCTAGCGGGCAGGTGTCATCTGACCTTGACCTCATTTTCATGGTTCAGTGGTCAAAGTTAAGTTTTTTGAGTTTTGGTCTTTTTTTCTAATACTATATGCAATAGTTCAACTATATTTGGTGTATGGAAATATTTTATGATCTATTTGGCAGTCACGCAGGTTTTATTTGACCTTGACCTCATTTTCAAGGTTCATTGCTCAGTGTTAAGTTTTTGTGTTTTGGTCTGTTTTTCTTAAACTATAAGCAATAGGTCAACTATATTTGTTGTATGGAAGAATTGTTAGCTGTACATGCCTGCCTAGCATGGTTCATCTGACCTTGACCTCATTTTCATGGTTCATTGGTCAATGTTTAGTTTACTTGGTTAATGTTAAGTTTATGTGACAGTTGTAATAAAGCTTTATATTTAGGACTATCAACATAATATCAATGATTAGTAAAGAAGGCGAGACATTTCAGCCTGTGCACTCTTGTATTCATTAAAAATAGGGGTGATTTTCCAGTTTTTGGACAATAGCTCAAAAATGCTGTCACCAATTCTCATGAAACTTTGGTGAATTGTTTATATCTATTGATGTAAGCTCCCTTTTTATTTTCATAAATTTCTGATATGACATTGAGAATTAATTGAACAGTCTGACAACAGATATACTAAGTATTGCACAACAGCAAGAAATCTTTAATTGAATATAAATTCAATTCATATAACCAATTTCAAGTTCTTTGACTACATTTATTCAGAAACCTTTAATATGTCAAATATTTAATTACAATCCAAATTCAGACCTGAATCAAGCTTGAATATTGTGTCCATTTTTGCCCCAACTATTCAGGGTTGGACCTCTGCGGGCGTATCTAGCTGTGCTCAGCGAAGCAGTTTATTTGGAGA